AGCACCTGCAAAGTCTCAGGCTGGAGTTTCTCAAGCCCCATGTCAGTTCCTGGCAGTGTTAGGAATCTCCTCTGTTGCACGGCTGCTGCCCTCCACACATACACACCCTCTTCTGAAGCAGCAGAAGCCCAGGGTGCAAAGACAAGCGGTTGCTTCAGTGCAGTCTCTGCATGTGGCACAGTAGCCTCAGCAAACACGTTTTGCTCCTGCCACTACTACCCATTGCTATTTGGCTTGGGGAAGCTCACAGGTGCCCTCTTGTCCTTATGAACTCAGTGTTTTCGCTGACAGCTGAAACATCATGCAAAAACAAAGGAAAGAAGCGAAGACGACTTCTTTTGAGCTTAAAAAGAAGCTTCTTCCACTTTCAGGTAACTATCCCCTTTAGTTTGTACTGATGCAAACCAGTCAGAGTAGCCATGCTGTTTCTGCAATAACCACAGCGAATTTGGGTCAAGACCAGCTAGGCAGTTCTGGTCCAAGGCCCACCAACTCTGCAGCACCAAGCACACCTTATACTTGCTGGGATCTTTCCCTCTCTCTTGCTCCCAGAGGGTTTCATGTGCAGCTTTCCCAGAGCAGCCAGCCTGCAGCAGGCAGACCAGAGCTGCATCCTACAGGGCTCCAGCGGCAGCAGTAGCTGCCCTCCAAATAACCCAACTGAGCAAAACAGAAACTGCCTGATAAAGAAGTATCAGGAAAAAAAACCAGCATAACCCCCTTCCTTTCCTCAGCAAAGGATCCTTGTGTTTGACTCCCATCTCACCAGGGTGTACCACTGCTCCCTGAGAGAAGAGGAAATTTCTCAAATGCTCCACTTGGTGTCATTTTTAATTTCACTGCCCCATGCCCTCGGTATCTTTTTCCTCTCATAGTTCCAATACATGGAGATAAAGAAATCTAAAGCAGTATCTCAGTGTGGGGCCTCTGACATCTAAGCTGGGAGAAGGGGACTCTGGGAATGTCCAAAACTCTTTATTCCACAAGCACTGGTGAGACTCTGAGTGATTATTTCTTCTGCATTTTGCTCTCTGCAGCCTTTTTACACTTCCCTTTCACAACATTTCAATCCTTTTCCCTATCTTTCTTCTAGATCTGTCCCAAGTGACACCCACTCCTACACTAAAAGCATGCCACAGACAAGATAGAAAGTCTTTGGAAGGTACCAGAAAGCTACGAGCGTCAGCAAGGACTCTGGCAACAGCCTTGCAGTCAGAATGAATGCTGAACCTGGGAGAGTGCTCTTCTTGGGAACCTTCCCAGACCTTCAGCCTGCATGAATATGCCAGCAATGAACAGAGGCAGGAAGAGAGCAGGAGACATATTACCACCTCAGCACCAGCTCCCTTCACAGATCCACATCCTACCAGCTGCAGCAGAGTCCAACCCTCCCTTTTTTCTAATTCCTCAGAATATCTTCTAGATCAGGAGAAAAAAAAAAAAAATCTGAGTGATTCCAAGGGGACAATCCCTTCATCTCCTGCCAACAACTTATACCCTGTCACCAGGCAGCTTCCCTGTTCCAAAAGGGAAACAAAGAGAAGAAAAATCTGTATTGCCATCATCCCTGCTGTAACCTCACAGGACATGGTCAGAGCACTCCAAGACAAGCAATAGAGGAGAGTACCTCCCAAGTCACCTGGAAAAACCTCCTCCAGAATAAGACCTCGAAGAGTTGCATAGGAATAGTCACACAGTATTTCTGAGCCATGAAATTCTCAGGCCTCGCATCAGGAAGAATCAAAAGCGTAACCAATAACAAATACCCTCCCTCCCTCCCCTCACCTTCTTCTCGCTATGTATACACCCTGCAGTACTCTGCAATCCTCTTTACCTCCTGGCAATGTTCAATTCCATACCCACTGCCCTAGTGAAGGAAGCAGAGCATGGATAGACTGCAATTTTATTGAAAACAGAAGGTAAACAAAGCCTTGCAAATAACTCACCCCTCATTAAAATGCTCGGACATGGCAGCTGGCCCATCCTGATGATATACAATCCCTCTGTAGTTCTTCATCACCACTCCCCAATTTCTTAAACCCATTCTGCCACACACATACACACAAACTCTCCAGAGGAGCCACCAGAAATAGATTCTGGTGTGTGAAAGTTACCACCAAAGAATAAGCTCTTTGATCAGTTGTGGAATGTGAAATAAGAGGTGGGATGCAAAAGCCGACATACCACCTCCTTTCCTTGGAGTCGAGGGACTCTTAAAGATAAAAAAAGTCAAACCAAAATCAGAAGTCAAACAATCCTCAGAGAACAAGGGCAGCAGAAATTGAGTAAGTTGGGGCAGTCTCTGCACACTTGGCAACTCCATCCAGATGGTGGTTCTCCTGTGTCTGCCTGGGGAGTTACAGAGCTCCACCCTTCTGCAGAGGAGTTGAATTAGCAGGTAAAGCAGGAAAAGAACTGGCATCCCAAAGATTCACACCCACCTCATTTTCTGCATGAGGATTGTCCTCTGCAGGGAGAGAGGAGGGTTCTAGCTCCTGGATATGCAGAAGAGGAGGATCCTCCCCTTCCCTCCTCCATTTAGGCCTCCACTGTCCTACTAATGGCTCTGCCACCTTCCTGCTCTTCAAAGACAACTACCCTTTTCCCTCACTGCATTCATTAATGACTTTAAACCTTTCTTAAACCATTTTTTTCTGGACTATAAACTACTGAAGTCAAGGCCTGCCTCCTTCCATTCACATTTAGGCTAGAGTCTTCATTCCAGCTGCAGTCTGCTGGCAGTGCAGGGAGCATCCACATATACAGTTAGTGTTATTACAGTGGAAAGCAGGCCTATCCCACCACGTAAAGACACTCACGTGAAAGCCCAGAGTGCTACGAACAGAGACATATATGCACCGAGGACTCAACTCTTCAGTGTGCTGAGCTTTCTGGACCTTGGCCACCAACACATGCAAGTTGGAATTTAACTACAGGATGCTGGTGGGCTTGTACCATAACACTGGCCATAACACTGCCTCTCCCTGCTCTTTTCAGCCAAGCTGATGAGTCAGAGCAGATTCAGGTACTTCTATATATGCTACATCTTCAACTTATGTAGAAGAGGCCCATCCTTTGTTTTGCTGGAGTCACTGCATGAAAGCTAACCATACAGCTTAAGTGCTCTGCTGAGCCAAAGGTGAAGCATTCAGAAACTTGCAAAAGCGATACTGAGATATACAGAATTTCTGCAGGAAGGAAAGACTTGACTTCTCTGTTATTGGACTATTGGGACAAACAAAAGGGAGCCAAATTTTGTACTCTCAACATTTGTGTAGGACAGCAACCTTCCTACTATGGTTATTTATAAAGAAATGTTACATACTGGGTTAAATTATACACTGCAGAATTTCAAAAGATGACTTAAAAAACGATGATTCTTTTTTTTCCTTTTCTATAAACATTTAGAGTCATTTCTAGGGATCTTTCATTACTTCCAAGTCAATACTTAAGAATCCCATAAGGACTGTGCACCTCTCACTGCTTGATTCTTATCTGTGCCAATGAAATTCACTTGGATTCAAATACAATCTCAAGCCTGATACACCAAGGGGGCAATGGGTATGAGAAGGCTTCCCTGGAGAGCTTACAGATATGTCACAGGCACAGAGAGGGTTTAAGTGCTGGTCTGGGGAGCCCGACAGCAGGGCATTATCCAGGAGTCACATTAGCTCCATTTCCACATTCTCATCTACAGTCAGAGAGGAATGAGCAACTAGGAACAGCCATAAGGCTGAGTAAAACAACAGCTTTGTAAGTGCACCTCATAGAGGCTCCTATTCCTTGGCTTTGACCAGGGTTCCCCAGGTCTCAGACACCTGAACAGATCTGCCATTTCCCCTCATTACCATCAGAGATTCTCTATCTGGCCTGAATGGGACCCCACAGGTACTATGAGGGCACTACAAAGTGAGCAGGAGACAACACTTCTCCCTGTTGGAAACTGGGGTGGGGGACTGGAGAAAAGGACCAGCAAAGACTCCAGCTGATAGAAGCAGCTGCAAAAATGGCCATGATAAAGGATGCTTTTGCCATTCTAGGAAGCCTCCTCAGACCTGCCTGGCCTGTCTCTGCACTCTCTGTCCAACCCTTTCCTTCCCTCTGCCTCACAGACGCTTCATCTCAGCTGCATTAAATCCCAGCCTTTTTCTACCCTTTCCTTCCTACCACCAAGTATTATAAGTAATGTGTCACTGGAGTTTCTCATGCCTGAAAAAAAAAAATCAAAGAAAACTGCAGTACATTGTTTTAAAGCCCTCCCATTCACAAAGTTAGCACAATTCAGCCAAGGACAACTTGAAGGTCATTAGAACAGATCCAAGAAAAAAAGGCAGGGACTCATTCAGCTGGCTGTCAAAGACTAGTGTAACTGGGCTTGCTCTTTTAGCAAGAGCCATTCCCTGCCTGTAGAGGTTTAAACACACACACTCACAATTTACATAAAATGATAACATCACTCTATATTATGTTCTACTAGCTAGCACATGCTGGTGTCCTCAACTAGACAAGGCAAATCTCATTTTAACCCCTGTTGAAGCAAACCCTGGGAATAAATCCAGATGTTACCTTTGCCAGCAAAGACAGATTGCTGCACATAGACTAAGCACGTCAGTTAACACACTATAATTTGCCTTTTTTTATTCCCCAATGAAAGCAAGACCTAGGAGTGACAAACCAGTGCAGAAGCCTTGTGCAGTGCAGTCTTTCACTTCCCAGTTGAAACATCTTCCCGGGACATCAGGTCTAGGGGTGAATTTATGACAGGGTACTTGTCCACTAAACTGAACTTGTTCCCACAGCCCACCCAACCCTCGAGTCACCAAACTGCCTTTTCTCCTCAAGGGCTTTGGCTTCACAGACCTAGAGGGTGACTCCTCCTGCCTCTCTGCTGCAGAGATCTCACACTAATCCTTTATGATAAATACACTTTCATTTTAAGGCCTATTAATAAATAGGTGCATGCACATATGGATATAAACAAGGCATGTCAATTCTCTTACCTGAGCCATTTCTGCCTTCAGGATGGTTTTGTGAAAGATATTCTCCAAAAGCCCTTGCCGCTCTGCATATCCAAGCATCACAGAAGGCAGCAAAGGAGAGAAAGAAAGAGATGGGCAATGGTTAAAGGCCAAGGAAAGAAGGAACAGTTCAATATCAATATACTGCTGTTTTCCTGCAGCTGCCTTTCCCTCAACTTCAAGTGACACCAATTTAAACATGCTGCAATAGCAGTGGGCTCTTCTTGGTTAACACACCTCAGTTTTCCCCTGGCCAAAGGGGAAAACAGAGTTGGACTACAAGCCCAGGACCGTCTTAGTCGTTAGCTTCTCTGTTAAAACAAAAACAAACAAACAAAAAATTGAAATGCACCTGCATTAAACTTGGCCTTGTTTCTGTGATGCACATAGGAACTGGACCATTGTCTCTAACCACCCTAAGTTAAACCCCTTCTGGTAGCCCAGGGAAGAAGGTATCTCCAACTCAGTCCCAACCATCACTGCAGCCTTCTACTCTAGTTCTAAATACTCCTATCTGTGAGCAACCACAGCTTAGACGTTAATGCTAATACCCATTTTACCTACCTTAACCCTAAGTTCTCAAGCACCAGCTGTGTCAGTATTTGGATTACTGGACAACCTTATTTGAGACCCCCATGACATCCTACAAAAGCAGTTCCTGGTTCTCTGATGGATTCAGGTCCCGGGGATGACTGAGATTTTACTGAAATATATTAAGAATCAACCAGGCAGGGTGAGCTCAACCCTTATCACACATCAAGGCCTACATAAGAGAGCAAACCTATGAATATTCCAACCAGGGAAAAGCTTTCTGCTTGCAACCCACACAGGAAAGGAATCCTTGGTCAAGGCATGCATTCCCTGGTATACAGTAAATACAGTCTCCAGTATCCTATTGCCAGGACATTTGTAACATCCTGCTGGTGTGCTTGTCCTCCTGTACCCAACAGACCTGTGACTCGAGAGAGCTAATACCAGTTTTTCCCCAGCCATCCATTTTCCCCAGGTTTTTAGAACAATCTTTTCCAGGTCTGCAGCATCACAATCAGGCTGATATTTGCCAATGGACAGTCCAGGGCGGACACTTGCAAACAGTGAGACAAAACAGCCAGCCACCTCCTTGGCAAGCCAAGCCAACAAAACCCAGCAGCCAAGCACTCTCAGCCTGCAAGTACACCAGCATGTCTTGGGCGAGGACACAGACTTGCTACAACAGGGAAGACTCTCCATACCAAGGCATCATGTCCGCTGCCCTCCTTCAGAGGTGCTCAACCTCAGAACATCCCTCTCCAGCTCAAGCTGCCACAAAAGGCTACACTCATAACAGCCATTAAAAACCTAAGTGAAAAATGGCTTTGACCTCCAAAACAACCTTCTGCTTTGCTACCCCATGCAGCAGCACATCCCAACTTGTGCAGCCAGGATTTTCCCCCCACTGCTTTTACACACCTCCTCCCAAAGGGGAAAAGATTAGCAAAGCTACAATGTACCTCCCAGAGCGACTGGAGCTGGAAGGAGTGAGAAGTCCATTTGTCATCCACAGCCAGCAACAGGGGATCGATATGAATGATGAAGAAAGAGTAATTTAATCTCCCTGGGACTAAATTTCAGCACAGCCAAATGCAAAATGCTTTGGAGCAGCGCAGCTGGAGCTGTGCAAGAACCAAGGTTCAACCTTCTGCATCATTACAGGCTAACATACAGTCCTGAGGTTTTTTCCGTTTCCAGATTCTTGCCTGTCTAGTACCAGACTGTACCTTTAGACACTAGCCTGGGGTGGCAGTTGCCAAAACTGTCTTCCTCAGTGCCTAAGCACCCCCAGAGATGGTCAGGTAGACCATCTGTACATGTACATGACAATTGTACATATCATATGTACAATTAGCATGCAATCCCCACTACAAAGAACAAAGGGATGGCCAGCATGGTTCATCCATACAGGAGGGCAAGTGCCTCATGAATGTTCCTTGCACCCACTACCCTTCTGTCTGAGCAAAAAAGCAGGACTTGGTCCTGTGGCAACACACAAATGTAAAGTTGGGAGCTGGACTGTGACAACTTCAGGGAAGTGGTTGAGTCACCATCCCTGGAAGTATTTAAAAGACATGTAAATGCAGCACTTAGGGACACGGTTTAGTGGTAGATTTGGCAGTATTAGGTTTATAGTTGGACTCAATGACCTTAAGGGTCTCTTCCAACCTAAATGACTCTATGATTCTAACATCAGGCTATGCAGCTGCAAGAGCACCGCTGAGCTACTCCTGCACTCCATCTTAGAGGTGGTTAAGGCTCAGCCAAAGCTATGGCCAATCTCATGTAGTACTGGCGACAGCCCTGCTTTGAGCAGATGGCTGGGCTTAAGACTTCCAAGATCTCTTCTACCAAGAATTCTGGGACTCCAGGGCTTCCCATGAAAACGCCTGTCCTTGCAAGGCATCATCATCAACGCTGTTCACAAACAGGGCACTTAGACCCTTGGCAAAGACTCTGAAGCTTCTCTTGTGCATCAGCAGTCATTCCATGTAGAAAAAAATAACAAGCAGCAAGTTCTCAGGTAAATTTTCAGTGAGAGAACATGGTGATTTACACAAAAATGCTTAAATATGATGATAAAATTCAGTCTGCAACTAGTTTAAAAGCTTTAAGAGCATGTTAGTGCATCTCATTCTCTCCATTCCTATCTCTGCCAATGCCCGAAGCTGATCTGTCTGCCTTAAAATCTGAACCAATCCTTCACCCTTAGCTTGCAAACCACAGGCTCAAAAAATCAGTACCAAGCACTTCCTAAGTCCCACACTGCAAATGGTTAACATGGAGCTAGAGAGAAGCACTGCCACCCTCCATCCCACCTTGTTCCGTGGAGAAAATACTGTCACTCAGAATAAAAGCCTGAGTTTAAAGGTGCTGCAGTGTCTCTAGCCTCACTCTCCTGTTTCCCCAAGCAAATGAGGTAGGAGGGTAAAATCCCAAGTGCCGGAGCTCCCAGAGAACAGGCGATACCCAGACCTCTCCTTGCAGGTCAGAAGCACAGTCGAGGAGCATAGAGCTACTCAAAAAATTTGCTGCCCAGCCCAGGCTGAACCTGCAGTTCTGTCACTACCATTCCACTTTCACTACTCTCAGATGCTGCAGGCCAAGCTAAGAGCAAATGAATGTGGCTGCTTGATCACAGTTATCTAGCGACAGCTAATAAGGCAATGACGCCTGCACAGCACAATGTGCGACGGGGGTTTTCCAGCCAATTACACTGCAAACTTCAGACTAATTTTTTTGCCTATTATCTCAGTGGTTCCCTTCTATGTTCCTGCTTCCCAAGTGCCATCGGCTTCTCCTTGGCTGTGCCTCAGCTGATCTCCCACAGATGTCTGCATGTGCCCTTTGCCAAGGGGACTCTGCTGGCCATGCTAGCTCCTTATGCCTAGTCTCCCCTTGCCAAGCCTTTTATGTTCCTTCTCTGCCCTCACTGTGCTCACAGTCACCCCAGTTTACCAGCATCTGCCTGCATCGTTAACGTGCCATTTACCCCCTCTTCCTGGCTACCTGCTGACTTGATCAAAATAAAGTCAGAGCAAAATTCAAACACGGTAGCTGCTTTATTCATCCCATTCTTTTATATTTCTTTTATCAACGCACTGTATTAATATAAGTCACACAATCGTACTTTTCTCTCAGCTCAGTTTTGCCTCCACTATCACAGCCAATGCAGTTCAAGTCCCATCAAGCTGCCTGATGACATTGGACAGAAAACCCTTCAACTGGGCTCAGAGCAGAGACACCTCAGGATAATTTAATAACTAGCAAGAGATAAAAAAGAAAACTTGTTTCACATAAATGAGATGAAGTACAAGGTGCTTTACAGATACACAGGCCGATGAGCTATAACCCTGAGTGTATGACACCGCAAAAGCTGCGTACAAATGAACAGGTAGTACTGAGAGGTAATCAGCTAATGACATGACAAGTTTAGCCCTGACTCATCTAGAGAGAGGTTTTCATTTTAGTGGCAGATCAGACCTGCAAGTTACACAGTCAGCACAGCTTGATTTAACAAAAGGACATCAACCAGGGACCATAGCCTTGGTACGCTGCACTACTGAGTCTAACCAGTAAAGACAAGACTGCCATTGCCTCAGAGAAAACACCACCATCTTCTCTGGCAGCTTCTCCATCAGAATGACTTCAAGAGTGCAGAGGGTGAGATGGGGTAGCATAACACAGGCAGCAAAGGCAGCTGCCCTTCTGAGGGCATTTTTCAGTACTCACCATGCATTAGATGTCAAAGCTGGACTCAGGTCTGGAAGAGAAACTGAGATTTTGCGAAGAAGCATAGACAGTCTAGACGTACATTTGCTACAAGGAGGAAAGTCGCCAAATAACAAAGATCTCAATTACAACGCGATGAGCACGGAATAGCCTTCATGTCTCTGAAATAATCACATCAACAGGATAAAATGGGCCTTGATATACACTAGCAGCTATCAGAAATTAATGCACACAAATTTATGCAATCCACCAAACTGACACTGAATTGAGTGAAGAAATGTGTATTGAAACACTCAGAGATACACAAAAGACCTGAGATAACTCCATTTAAAGCATAGCAACAAGCTAAGCAAAACCTGGACTATTCAGGAGTGTTACATGGAAAAATAAAGAACACCCACCACCTTCTTGTGTTCCTTCAGAAGTACTGCCCAGAGGAGTTGCAGCAGGAATCTGTTGTGACAGCACATGACAGTGCTGCATCTCAGGAAAACAGGAGAAGAGACCTCCTGCATCATCAGGACCTAGGTCCTCCTACAGCAGCAATCCTACTCTTGTCACTAAGCAGAGAGGGGAACACCTCCAGCATATCCGTAGTTAACAGCTCAGTCATTAAAGACTGTTGACACTTACGTTGTTGAAACCTAATAGTAACAATACCCTGACAAAAATTAGTTTTCTGAAATATCTATGTAGGGACATGGTAGCTGGAAAATTTTAATTTTACATCTTAAAGTTCTAAATTCTCACTCTCAAGAAAGGGAAATCGGATGTCAGCAATGGGTCTTAAAATCAAAGACCCCCCAGTCTTGTAGGAATTTATAGTCACAAAACTTGGACAGGAGGAGAGAAGACAGAGCAGGAAAAAGATAAAAGAACAAGGTAATCAAAGCATGACAGAGTTCATACCACTCACAGGAAAATTCACAAGCAGAAAAAAGGAATCTAGACTCCATGAAGAACCCTAATCTAAGCCAAAAATTGCTCACTCAGTAATAAACCTGGGATAAGGAACGCATTCAAGTACCTCAGCATTTTGTCAGTGCAACATTTACCCTTTCGCAGCAATTAATGCTTTGTGGCCTCGTTTAAGCCCACTCTCTAGCCCTCTCTAGTCAGTAGAGAGGGAGCGAGACCAAATTCTTCTCTCTCTGTGGGGTATTTTGGACTAGATGCCAAAGTCCTGAAATTGAATAAGATGAACTACACTCTAGACTCAAATATTTCTTGTGCTAACTATAGTAAGGAGAGATGGTTCTGGAACACCCAACAAAAGTCTCATGTCTGTTTGCTCATACTGTCACACGCTCCCAAAGAAAAGCTGTATGCCAGAGTAATACAAAGCAGAGCTGCAGGAAAAGACTTACCTTATTTCCACATTTGGGGTGCCAGTATTGTTCTGTAGGTGTCAAGGCAGCAAGGACAAAGAAAGCCCATTTCTAAAGGCTTTGGTTCATCTATGCCCTTGAAAGTATACTAAGGAAGCCAAGGAGGTGTGTTAGACACCATACAGGCCAGGACCCTGAAAAGAACCTGCACAAGCCCAAACCGCAGCAGCCCAGGAGCTGTCAGCAGAGGGGCAGCACCAAGGTCATGACTCAAGGACAACTGCGCCATCCCTGCCTTCAGCAGTTGTGCCCCAGGAGCTGCAAGGCAAAAAAGCGCACACAGGAAGGAAACACAGTATGACAGCGAGTTCTCGCATACAAGCATTTCAGATTTGATCAAAGCAACAGCACTGAGCCACAGTCACTTCCCAGGTGCCGTACACAGAATCAGCGTACAGTTCACTGCAACTCTCTCAGGAGAAGACAAGACTACAGAGACCAAAGTTGGCAGCATCGTGGATGCTCTCAACAATGCTAGCACAGACCAACTATGCCATTATTTTCTAAGAAGCTATTTAAAAGACCTAGCACACAACAAACTGCATGGAGCTTAATTAATTCTCCTGGGACAGGAGACTCCCCTGAGTCGCTCTGCAGAGATTTTAATTTAAGAATCTAGGGAGCTTGCACCTTCTGCTTAGATCACATTACTCACGACAACAAGCAAATGATGCTCCCTGCTCAGTAAGACAGTCAAATGCACACACACATACTCCAGCCACATATAATAAATATACATCAGTGGCCACTTGGACTTGCAGCGAATTTGAGGAGATAATTTTTCTCTCAAAAAGAAAAGTCAGGAGAAATACGAACAGGGCAGAGCTCAGGAGGTACAGAGAAACAATCCCAGGGCATCTCCTCCTGCAGCATGAGAACAGGATCCCACAGCTGCCTACACGAAACCACAGGGGACCTGATCATTGCAGCAGTGCTACCCACACAGGTGATCCAAGTCCCCACCTGTCTTGGGAAGGTCAAAATAGTCTATCTCTGTAGCCTTATCTACTGTCCTGCAGCATCCTCACTGTAGATAAGGAAGATAAGGACATGTGGGACACATGGAGGATGACCAGGGCAGAGCAGAGGAGCTGTGTGTGATGTGCTCTGAGGAAACCTTTCGGCAGGTGGGTCATCACCGCTGTAGAAATTCTAAGGGTGGCAGAGACTACATGAGGCAGGGACTGAGATGAGCTTGGATTGGCAGGATGGAGGCTTGTCCCCACCAGCACCTTCTCCATGCAAAGAGGCAATGCAGGGAGTTCCTTAACAAGTTCTCTGTCCTCCCCAAAGACTTTTTCGATTAGGCATTTCTAGCACAGGGCATGAACAGCAAGACACATAAGAGCACCTGTCCTGTGCCATGGTCTATGTGACTAGACACTCTTCAAGGACTTTATGTTCCCCAGCCCAAGTCCACTCAGCTAACTTTTCTGGTCAAACCACCACAATTCACACCACCAAGGGACACCTCAGACCTCCCGCATAACAGTAGCAGCAGCTTGTCAGTAGTTACAGCAGGTATGTAGCAAAAGAGAACCCCAGAGGCACCTCCTAGACTCTACACAGTTGATACTACTTGAGCAGCATCTGTCCATCCTGGTTTAGGGCTAACAAGCCATTGCGTTCAAAACACATTAGTCGCTCCCAAACACCCACACTACCATTTGAAATCCTACCGACTACTGAATATGTTGTTTGTGTGACTGGCTGTCTAATCCTACTCCCAGAACCCCATTACAACAGTTATGGTGCATTTTGTGTCATTTCTGTGTAACCACCTGGCTGACATCTGCCAAAAAGAATCCTACTTCCAGATCTTTGAACACCATTGAGAGCGCTCATGTTTTCGTTACTGGTTATGAACAGGGAGCATCATAATGCGGGGAAAAGTTCCAGGCTCTGCCCGGACAGCTTTCTCCAGAGGCACTCCAGACTTTGAAGGATGAATTTCTTTACAATGTAAACAGACAGCAATATATAGACATCTTTGGATCTCTTCACTTCAAACTGTAAGACTACCTTTCCTCCCAGCACAGCAGAGATGCCGTAATGCTGAGTTACAGTCACAGAGAGGTGACTGAGATCTCTCAGCAGCACGGATCGAGTCCTACACATGACTCCAGGTTATTCTAATGCAATTTTGTCTAACACAAAGGAAGCATTATATAATGCAGCTGAAAAGTTTATTTCTTCCCATTTTTTTTCAGCAGCAAAGAGCTAGTCTAGATGTGGCAGAGACACTGACAGACCTACCCCTTTACACAACCGTGCTGTAAGAGCCCCTAAAAAGCTGCGCCAATGCCCCCAAATAGTCACCGGACGATTGCCATGACACTTGCACTGCAGCGTGGGAGAAGGGTTGTTCCCATCTTTCTGGGCAAAGGGCACTGTAGCAAAGCTCATCTGCAATAGCTTTTTAAACCTAAGTACAACCAAGCAGCAAATACATTTTCTAGGATCTCCCATGTTTGATCCTAATAAGCACTGGGACGAGACAGTAAGTGAAATGCTGCACTGTAGGACAAGCAATATAAAAACATAACAGGCACAATATGGAACCCAAACCTTTTAACTGGTCAAGGTAGCAGCTTGGGACACTGCCAGAGAGGGCAGATGTGGTGGGGCCAGATTTCCACGCAGTAGGTTTTCCATTCAAAGGAGCGATACCCATTAAAGAAAGCTGCTGACTTTGCCCTCAGACACACAGATGGCATTTCAGCTGATAAGAAACCAGCGAGCAAACTGCCCACACCTCCAGTTCTCGAAGATTAGAAAGATCCAGCCCTGACAAATCCACTTCTGACCCGCTCCTTGCCACCCCAGCAAATAAAACCTGCGGATTATATTAGCCGGCCGGCAGCAAGAAGCGGGGACACCTTTGGAGACAAATCACCTCTCCAAAGGCTGAGGGTCCACTGTGTGCGGGGGGGGAGCACGGCGCCCCTCAGCCACCAGCCGGCTGCAAGCGGGTGGCTGCTTCTGGGGGGCACCGCAGCACCCAGCGAGGGGGACTCACCGGCGGTGTCCTGTGGGTGCGTGCCAGGGCCCCTCCAAGCTCTCCTACCCCAGGCTGCCATTCCCGAGCCCCGGGGGGGGACGGGGGGGGGAGCGCCCTGCCCCGACGGCCCTGCACGGCCGCCGCTCCGGCCCTGGGTGACAAGCCCGGGGGTCCTGCCCGCAGCCGGCCGCCTTGGCTCGTCCCGAGGGGCTCGGGGCCTTCCCCCCCCCCCCCGCCCGGCGCCCCGCGGGCAGAGCCGCCGAGCCGCCCGGGGGCGGGCAGGGTCCCCAGCACCGCGGGGGCTCCCTGAGGCGCCGCCGGCGGGGCCCGCTCCCCCGGCACCCACCTCACTTTGGCCGCTACCGACGACATGGCCTCGTTCCTCAGCGTCTTCCTTTTGGACACGGCTGTGCCCATATTCGCGCGGGGGGGAGCCGCCGGGGGAGCGCTCATCGCACGACCCCGCGGCTGCCCATGCCGCGGCGGGGCCGGGTGC